TACAAGTCTATCTCTGAGCAGTTCATCATGAAGAGCACCATAGTTACAGTTTTCTGCAAGAGAGAGCTGTTATGAAATTATCAACTGGTTCATTTGACTCTTAGATTGAGTCTTGCTCGTTCATAGATTACATTCTTTTTGGGCACGAAAAATCTGTTGAATGTCTAACTAATTCGTACTTCTGCCACTGCGTCGGATATCGGCTGCCCTCTTAACACATTGTCTGCCTCGTCTCCCATTCAGTATATTAATGTGTTCACCTGATTAGCTTGCAAGCTGACATGTAGATTACTGGCCAGTCGAAATCTTTCAAACCGCCGTATCCATTTCTCCCACTCTTGAGGTTTTGAGAAATTGAATGGCTCCGGAGGCTGAATCGTGAAGGTGGCATTCGAAGGCACGCTTACTCCCGGCTGGATTTGTTGCTGTGCCGCTGCGGGACCCGCGTCATCCTCGCTCATGCTGCTCGCTCAACTTCCGCCGACTTTTTTTTCTGCTCTCACTCTGTCTCCCCTCTATTATCGCTTTACTTCTGACACCATGTCATGTTCTTAAACAAAAGAGAGCAGGTCCATTGAACGTGTTAACTCATTTACCAACTTGTATTTCTCCCCCTCTCTTCATACATTTCTTCCCTGTTCTCTCCCTTGACTCCTCCCAGCCCCACTCTCTTAAAGAGCCCCATAACAAACACATAATAATCACACCACAGTAGACATTTCACTCTCTATAAATAAATTTTTCATACATGGAGTTTCGAAGTTTCTCACTCTTCACATTACCGAGACGGCAGAAAGCGCATCCTGTTTGCTTTAATTATTTTACAGAAGTGCAACGTTTCGTTTGTTGTTCCGAGTGCACACAAACAAACATAGAGTCTTTACAGATACGAAAGATGTATTACTTTTATCTGTACGACCAAAAATTATGGAGTATTTTAAGAGCAAGTGAGCGCACTGGCGCCTCCATCTGTCCCGCAGTGAGTGTGCTACTGTTCAGCTCCACACTCTGCACAGACACTTGAATAGCGCACATTTCTCTAAGTTATTAGATTGAGCGGCCATGTAAAGTTGTTACTACATACATCTTTCAGATGAAAAGCCATATTTGAGGTCGATAAATGATAGGTGAGCGAGGCGTCCATTACACATTTTCCCAGTGTGTTAACATCAGTAATTATGACTGTCGAATGCCTGACTTGACTCTTGGTCATGTATTTTGCCCCGCCCCCAAAACATATGATTAGACTATCAGCCGAATATAGGCAAGATTTGAAAATTCTGATTTGACTATGAAAATCCTTAGCTGGGGACACCCCTAGTTATAACTGTAAACAAATTACCACTAAGAGTTTCCTTAGTTTAAGGCAACCAGACATCATGTTGAAAAGTGGTGTAGAGGGAAGGAAAACAAACAGATTCAAACCTCTTTATTCAGGAAAGCCTAATCATGAGTTCTGTGGGAGCTTTCCAGGGGAAGGGTGGATATCAGGAACACTATCAATATGGCCGTTCATCAGACTTCCAAGTGGGAAGCGAGCAAGATAGTTACTTTGGTGAGAAATACATCAAACTGGCCTTACATTTATTGTGGGTAGATATGATTTAAATCTAAAATCTAAGGGCTTCCAAACCCTTATAACTTTCTTTTATCTGTGAAACACAGAAAACATTCTGAGTAAATTCCGAGTTCAATATTTCCACATATAATGAAAGCATGTTGTGACTGATGGTTCTGTGAGGGTAAGTAATGATGACTGTATTATATATTTTTTGAATGCATCAGGTTATTCAATGACAATAGCAACACGGTCTAAAAAAAAACTTGTGATTTTGGGAGCACCAAGATACAGGCATAAAGGACAAGTGAGGATTTCAATAATTGGAAATAATGCAACTAATCTGCTGGTGGATTCACCCAAGGTACATATAAATATTTCACCAAATACAGTATATGATATTCTCTACATGTAACATTCTCTTATGCAGGGCCGTTTCTAGGCATAGGCGAGCTAGGCGTTCATGTATGTTATATTTGCAGCAGCAATATTTCTTACATGCTCACAGCAGCATGTTGTGGATGTATTGGCAGTAGCAAGTGTCGGTACTTGCTCTGCAGCAGCACGGTAGCAGATCTATTCCGCCAAGACCAAATACATTAACATTGTCATGTACATTACCATGCCAGTCCCTCCGAGAGTTGTCATGACAGAAATAAAATTATAATTAAACTTTATTTGGAGAATTTCTTTATTGCACAATGCACATTTCTTAATATTATGCCTAAAATGTGTTTTATTATTATTATCACTATTAATATCACTATTAATATGGATTTTATGATCTCTGTATAATATCAGTCTTTAAATACAAGATATTTAGAGGGCACCTGAAGAATACTTGCAATAGTTCCACTTTAGCACAATCAGATATACTTCAGTATGTCTTTAGTTGGACCTCAGCACCACTTACACATAATTAACGTGCATTAAACACAAAATTAGTTGTTCCAATGTAGCAGAATTGAAGTATACCAGTTTATCAAAAGTACAATTGCAGGGTATTTTTATTTAACACATAAATATGTAAAAGTATTTGTAGTATTCATAGCACAAAATAAATGTATTTCATTTCATTTATACATTTTAGTATATTTTTTTCACTAGGGTACCATTTGATTTGGTAAATCTTTTGCCAGTCTTCATTTTATTTCAGAAACAGGAGTAGAGGCAACTGAAAATAAATTAGTTAGTTAGACAGTTCACCACCATCTCACAACTGACTTCTTGACCCCACTATATCTAGACACACATATGCACAAATTAAAATATATTTTGTAAGCATCCTCGATTTAAAATGTTTTATAATGCTTTTTAACGTCTTACCTCCTTCTTCTAGGCTGTGTTTGATATTATTTACAGTATTAATAAAGAAAGTCATTTTGACCAAAAGGTGACATTCAGTGCATCTGTTACCAGGTATGGTGTTAATCTGTGTCTATCAAATGAATTATATCAGCATGAAAAGTAGCACTAACCAAAATGTTCTGTCATTTCCAGTGGCAATACGAATCACTCTGAAAACAGTGAACTGTTGAAAATGAGAAACATCAATGTAAAACATGCTATATATTTTGCCTTTTTGAGGTCAGTGCTTCTGTTTGCTGTAGTACGATTACAATTATGATTTATGGACATTTTGATATTTTGCTTTTCTCACTGGATGTTTCTCCTAAAGACATACAGATTCCAGCATTTACATCAATTTCACCAGTGGGAAGAATAATCTTGAAAAACAAGTTAAACAGATATTGGAGGTAATTGGAGGTGAATTCTGTGTTCCATTATTTAATCTAACATGTACTGAAATAAAATCAGTTGTTGGTATCAATCAGTTTCCTTCTGTTTATGTCTCTAAGGTGAAGAATGAGTTTAGAGAGCTAAATTTAACAGTTTTCATTAGAGTACCTGTAAAACTGGGAGCTGAAAACATCTGGACTAATAAAAACTTGCAGGTAAAAGTGTGTGCAAATCAAATAAATCAAGGAGAAACAAACAAGAACCAAAGGCCTTTATTGTCTATATGGTGCCATTATTGAAGTCCATATGACTTTTGCAGTCGAAATTTGCACATTTAATACTTAAATTGTCTGTCATGCAAAGAATTTCCTTCTTGTTCCATGGAAGAAAGTAAGCCTAGTGAGTTTGGAATGACATGTCGGCAAGAATATTTTGGGGTGAACTGACATTTTAAGTGTTACAAAAATATTTTACTTTGTAAAAGATTCCAGATTGCTTCAGGGAAAGAGACGAGCAGCCCACCTCCACCAATTTTCTGAAAGTACTCAAAAAGAAAAATGTCTTGGTGAGTTACATTTGTTTTAATTTTAATTGGAAATTACTTTTGAATGAACTGATTTAAATGTAAAATTGTGTAAAAATAAACTTGCTTGACTGTTGTAACATTTTTTCCTGTCAGAATTGCTCTGTGGCGGTGTGTGCAGTCTTCAGGTGTGAAGTGAATCTAATGAGAAATGAAAGGAAGTTCTATAATATCTCCAGCAATGTGAGCTCTGGATGGATTGAGCAGGTATCTGAAGTTACAGAGCCTGAAATCTTTATTAGATGAGAGATTTCTGCCATTCTAATATACACATTTATTTTCATAGATTGGGATTAGGTCTGTATCTTTTCAGTTGGTCAGTACAGCTTCTCTGGATTATGATGAGGACAAATATATTTACTTCTCCGATTCCCTCAGCTCTGTGCCAGTTTGCGAGGTAATGCGTATAATTCACTTAAGCTAATATCATAATTCTCCAGCTGTTAGTGACATTACTTTAACATTATACTATCTATGCATCAGAATTTGTGAGATTTTGCTTCTAATAGTATGAAATCTTTATTGTGTTTGTGCCTGTGAAGGTAAGCACTCAGGTGGAGGTCTTTGAGGAACCCAGCATCCTAAAGGAGGTCACTGGAGGAGTTATTGGAGGACTGCTGATCATCTCACTCATCACAGCTGCCCTCTATAAGGTGCAATATGCCAGCCTTTTCATGATTCTCTAATAGTGTTCATGTAATGTATAATGTTTTATTTTCATTTTCTTTATAGTCTGGCTTTTTCAAAAGAAAGGCCAAGCAACAGAGGAAGGATCCATCACAAGAAGCTGATGAAGTGGAAAATCTAAATTAAAATGAATGCAGAATTGATTAATTACTTTTATTATTATTTTTAACATCTAGTTCTTTCTGTCACGAATCCTGTCCATGACCTGCTGTCTGCTTGCCACCAGAGGTCGCCCTCCCATTATATTGACTCTCACGTTACACAGACTGTCACATGTCACTCCGGACTACATTTCCCATGTGCCAATTACACACACTATAAAAATCAGTCTCAAACCACCATTCAACGCCGAGTATTGTTTAACATTTTTTGCTCTCCAAGTGATAGCTACTTTACAGTATTGATGGGAGAAACTAACCATTTCGAAGCTTCGAATCAATTGAACCAATTGCTTTGCAAAATGATTTACTGTTTCAAAGCGCTCGAAACACCACACGCTGGTGACGCCTGCTGGTCAAAACTTTGTAAATGCAACAAAAACTCAGACCAAAACATGCATAAAACAGCTTTTACAAACCCAATGAAAATGCTTTCTTGAAAGTATCATATAGTAAATGCAATAAAAATAATAAAATACCAATAAAAATGAAGTGTCTGTATAATAGGCCTATGTGTCTTTAAAATAGTTATTATTAATTTGCAAAGGTTAGTTTTGTTTTTCATGGAGAGCTTGTCTAAACAGGCCAGTAAGAGACTATTAACCACTGCTCATCCTTTTAATTACACAAATGTCTCATTAAAAATGTCTACAAATTGATCCAACTGATCCGAGATCATATAACCCATAGATGCTGTTGCAGTGGTTCGCCGCTGCGGGCGATCTCAGTGAACTTGCATGATTCACAGGCTCACAGAGATCGCCCCCCTAAGACGAACTATTGAAATTTCGAAACGTTTCGAAACAGTTATGACGTAACAAAGCCTCATTTACTGAAATCACGTGACTTTGGCATTTTGATACGCGCTCAGAACTACTGTTTTGAAACAATTGATTCACAAAGGTTTCGAAGCTTCATGAAGTAGTGTTTCAAAAGCGGCCATCACTACTTTACGGAGCCAGTCCTGATATTTTGGTTTGTTCTAGTCCTGTCAAGTATTGCCTGTTTAGTCTAGTCGTCTTTTCGAATTTCTTGCCTGTCTGTGGATTATTCTCTTTCCATGCTCTGTTTGACCCTCGTCTGAACTTTTGCTCGTGTTATCGGATTACCCTTCTTGTCAAGCCCTCAGGATATGGTTCGCCGATTGAAGACCCACGCTTGCCCTAGGAATACTCTTTGTCTTGCCTAATCTATTTCTGTTTGCTGTGTGCCGACCCATACCTGTTTCTGACCATGATAATGAATAAAGCTCTGCAGATGGATCTGCACGTTTCCTCAGTTCATTCCGTAACACTTTCATCAAAATTAATAGATGTTCATAAAACAATTCCCTCCTTTGAAGTTGCTCTACAGAATGTTTTGGTTAAAAAAAAACAAAAAAACAACTATGGTCCACCAAACATTACACACAGAAAAATAGGGCAATATATCATGGCAACAAATTAAAAATTTGTTTCCTTTTAGTAAATTATGTCCACCTAATTTGTCTCCTCATTTTGAGTAGGGTTAGGGATTGTATATCCAGCAATCAGAACAAAGTCCAATTACGGTTTATGCACGGTCCTTCGGCCCAACTGGCAACCAATCTACAGCTTCCAGAGGTCCAGAAATATTTTTTTGCTGATGCAAAAAATTCCCAAATACGGTTCAGAAGACTAGTGGCTATTTATCTTAGGTTTACACAACCAAAGTGGTTGGTAGGTTAGGGTTAGGGTTAGGTTAGGGTTAGGGTTAGGTATATGGCTAGTCTGGGGTTAATTTGCAACTAGGTATATAGATAAAATCGAGTTTCACCCTCATTAATTTGACCCTCATTAGCATATGCGATCTGATTGGCCAAGGCTTACCTGGCCATATCTGGTGAAGCGGAGGTCCGATCTGCACATAACTGGTATCGTTGGATTCAGGAAGCTGTGGTCTTTCAGGTAGCGTGGATGTATGGAGGAAAGGGTGTTGCTTTCAAATCCAATGTGACCATACAACAGTCTAAATAGTGACAAAGAAAGTCAGTCATGGTTAAAGGGAAAAAATACATCCAAATGAAATAACCTGTGAAATCA